GTCCATACACATGCCCATATCTATATATGTCAGTATTTCTAATTATGTATTTATGCATGTATGTTTGCCATTGTAACCCAAATTTCCCCCACAGGAATCAATAAAATCATATTTATTCATTCATTCATTCATTCATTCATTCATTCATTCATTCATTCATTCATTCATTCATTTACTTATTCACTTATCTATTTATTATTTTATGGCTGTATATCCTGTCGATGACGTCTATAGTGTCCTACTGATTGTCCGTAATGTCAATCTCGGAGAGCTCGCTGTCCTCTGCTTCCATCGTGGACGGAATGGTCACCGACATGCGGTACGGGCCTGTGCCTGTATCTCCAGGACTGGCCACAATTCTGATGACAAAAATGTCACATTTTGAGATACATCTCAGAGAAACTACAAATCTAATGTATTAAGAAAAAAAAATATATAAATACATTTAATCTTGCAAACAAAACTAAAACATACTCTAGAAAAGAGAGAAACAATTTTTTTTTTAAAACTGTTCAAAATTCTATTTAGAGAAAAAAAATTACGGGAACTTCCAAGGCATTCAAAGTAACAAAGAAATTATATATTATAAAAAGAAGTATAAAGCAGAATCAAGCAACCAGCTGTAGGTATGGTATGCTATGGTGTAGTATGTATGGACAACATTGCTCTCACCACTTTATCGAATAGGACTGAGCGAAGTGAAGGTACAACCCGAAAAATTCCAAAACAGCCCATGTACAAGAATGCCCAGTAAATTAAGAGATTGGAAGCAGGTTCATGCGCACTGTGTTCCAGCAAGATAGGCCTATCAAAAAACCTTAACTCTTTATCTCCGAGGTGATAAACCCACTACGCCAGGGTCCTTTTTTGGTACTAAATCTAAAAATGACAAAAACATCACTAAATGGGTAATTAAATTGAAACTAGCGAACCTATTGTGATAGTGCTTCATCTAATGAATGAACTGCTGGGAAAATAAACCTGTTTTCGTCACTTGCCGAAAAGTAATTTGAAGTCAAAGTCGTCGTAAAGGAATGTGTCGGAGCCGCTCGTTATCAGCGGCTCACTGGCACAGCAGTTCCGACCGCGAGCCGCTGTAAGCGGCTTGCCGGAGATAAAGAGTTAAATTGCATCCAAGCCAGCTTTACTCTGCACCAAATTCTATAAATAACAAATAAAGAAGGAACATAATAATCAGTCACTTACCTCTTCAACTCGGATTCATCCAAAGAACCTTCGTAGGAATAATCGATTCCCAAAGAACGATTCGAGTTGTTGGAAAGTCGACCTGACATGCCTGACGTCGACTCCCGAGACATGCGGAAAGAACTTCTGTTGCTCTCTCGTCTCTCATAGGTCCCCGTCAGGTCAAATTCAACGGACTTTTTAACTCCAGACTGACGGGACTTGAAGCTGGAGGTGAGACCTCCCTCAGCTGGAATATCAAATACATCTAAGCTGTAGAAGTGTTACAGATTTAGTAGAAAAAGTTCATCAATGCTTACAGTCATCTCATCAGAGAGATCTTGTTGAGAAATAATGGGAATGGTTGGGGCTGGATCAAATACTGAGAATGTTGGTGGCCTTGGTACTACTCAAATGTTAACCTAATTTCTTTCTTTCTTTCTTTTTAGGCATTGCCATCCACTGCAGGATGTAGCCCTTCAACAGATATCTCCACACTGTTTTATCATCTATTTTCTTTGTCCAGATTGTACCATAATTCTACTCTCCGATGTCATCCTGCCACCTTTTTTTGGATCTTCCTCTTGATTTAGCCTAAGTACAAACCCAAAACAAGCCTGACGACAAATGTAGATGGTGCAACAAAAAGAGAAAGATCAAGAGATACATGGAGAAAACAGTGTAGAAGGAAATGAAAGCGCGACGCAAAATCTGGGGCCATCTGGCACTCTGGTGGTAGCCTTATCCACAACTTCATATAAATAATGATAAAACCATTTAGTACCAAAAGCCAAAAGCTTCATTTACAAAATATTATGCTCCAGTACCATGGAAAGGGGAATGACTCCATTTCTGAATGAATATTGGGTGTGGCTTGAAAAAAATATTATAAGGATGGTATTTAACTTATTTGAACAAAGAAAATCAGTTTTCTATTACATACTTTATTTTCAATGCCATAAAAAGGATGATGGAATATGTTTACAAGTTCTTTATCACTTACTTGCATTTCAATGTGAGACCAAACTTATCCTACTTAGAGCATACATATATTGCATAAGAAGCATGATTTTATCAATCTAATCCAGTTTGAGAAAAACAATCACTTCACAAGAATATTTACCTGATCGTCGCAATGATCCTGACTGCAGGGAATCTGATTCCCGGAAATTTGACGAGCCCGAGTGCCGCACTGTCAAAGAATAGGAGGGACAAAGAGTATAAAAACATTTCTAGGGTGGTTAAAATAATAATAATAACAATATTAATAATGATAATAATAACAATAATAATAATAATAATAAAAATAATAATA